GATATTGAACACGTGCTCATAATTTCTGGCGCCAATCGGTCGCGGGTTTTGTTCCTCTAATTTGTGAATTGATAAAAGAAAAATTTTGAAAGAATGTAATCATTAAGAGCTTTGAGTTGCGGCTACCTTTAATTCACGACCCACGAAAACGCTTTTGTACTTTAGGTAAACATACAATATTTCTTCTTTGTGTCTTTTGACAAGAGTAAATTAAAGTTGGAGGATGAAAAACTATTGTCATCTTAGCCGTCCCTCTCTCATGGCTAATTCATCTTAGATTTATGTTTTTCAGTGAAATTAAAGTCTAAGAATCTCTTTAACAATGTAAATTATTTAGGGTAGGGGGCGGTTTTACATAGGCTTTCTTGTTTTATAACGCCACACAACTCAAGTCTTACGACTGCTTGATGTCGTAAACATTATTTGACTCGTTAAAAGCCTGAAAGTGGTAATAACACCTGCGTTGCTTGGCGTTAAAAACATTCATTACATCATGTGCGAATCCGTTATTAAGCATGAGCAACACAGACATGTGCGAATCCGTTATAAAGCATGAGCAACACAGACTCATATTTTTCGCCCCTTTCTTATACGGATTTGAAGTTTAGTTCATGATTGTGACCCTTTCCATTGAGATTAAACTGGCAGATTCAGCTACAGTTTCATAAGGTCTTTAAGCATGAGCCATCAACATCAAGTCTCTCTGAATATCCGAGCTGATCTATGCCGGCTACCCCAAGATGAACACCGTAAGTATTTTGTAGTATTTTCATTTCACTCCATTCTCGGGCCCTTAAAAGCAATTTAAAGTCTTAGAGTGGAAATTATTCAAGTTTTCATGTTAACAGCCATAACAAATCACAAATTAAAGGCACTTTCACGGACTTTTTTGAAAGCGATGATTATCATGGTAATTAACCAAGACCATGTACCCACTAAATTTCCGACGGCAGTTGAGTAAATTAATGATTGTGCCGTGAACTTTGGAACAAATCTTATACTAATTCAAGAGCAAGAAAAATACTACTTCTCTTAAACACCTCAGGAATAAAAGAACTCGATTGGATAACACTTAGCCTCACAAATTGTCATTAATACTTTAACTCAAAACCAAGATCACGCTCTGCATATAGAGCAATTTATCCTTATCCCCTCCTCAGAAGGGATAATTCAGGAAGGCTCGCTCATTGGCTAAAAGCAAAACATGTGACATCATTGATAAGATCAAAAGGGTTAAGTTTACTAATAAATAAAACTAAAATCTTGGCCATCTTTCACTTGACTCCAGCCATAGTCTTGAATCACAAAACGTCAATAGTATGGGCCATAGGCCGTATATGTAAGTCGAAGGTTCTTTTCTGCTGGCTTCAATTTTTTAACTAGTTTTTCATCTTAAAACACTTTTTGCAAGGGATGTCATTTTCCATATCCTTTTCAAATGCTTTCCATATGCCTGGCGATTTGTACGTGGAAAAGCGTGAAAAGCTTAGCCTGTAGCCTTGGTCAGTGGAAAAAAGCGATAAAGCGGGCCACGAAAAAAATATCAGTGGTCAGGCAACCACAACCGCTGTTTGTCGTTCTTCTTTCTAGCTAACCTTTAACGACATCGGAAGTATTTCAATGGGAGTCAGCTCGGTCCGTCAGCTGTAAATGCGTATAAAAGGACCTGCATAACATTGCGCTTTTTGTGATGATCCCTACATATGATGCTTCAAATGGTCTGACACCGAACAGTTATAGACAACAAGCCATCTGAAATAGTATATTTATTCCAAAGAATCTGAGGCTTGGATGCTTTGTGTTTTTCATCCTTTTTTCAAAGCTTTTTTTGAGTGAGAACCAACTCATGGCGGAGATCAGCACTCTCAGCCGATCAGGATAAAATAAACATATCGTTTTGTTTACCATTAAGAGCCCTCGTGATTATGAAAAACAGGGGTCTCTTTTGCAGCAAATCGGCTTTCAGTAATTTTCACATTAGGATGAACCAGCATGTAAAACAGAAACGAGGTGGTAATGATCATTGGCATGTTAGTAGTTATTTCTTTATCCACGTCATGCCAATGCAATGAGGTATGTGAAGGTAATCATTATGGTCAGTTTTATTTGATTCCTAAGATATTTCCTTATGTCCTCAAGTTTAAATCACGTTTGATCGGTTGTGAGCCCTGCGATTTACTCAAAAGTTCAGTCGCATTAGAGTTCAATAATCTCGCCGCGTAGGCTCGCATTCTAACGGATCTGCTTAAGTTTTGTCAATCTAAATCTGATTATCTGTATTAATCAGGGTTTGATGTCGTTTAATCCTCCTTTTTTCAGATCAACATGCTTTTTTAGATGGTTTGGCATAAAAACCACTGGCAGAATAGCGTGGTGGGGTGAGGGCGTCCGTAGAAGCCTGTTAAACTTACAATTTCATGAATAGCTATGTCTACTTTCCTTAAATTGTCCTCTTCTAAAATGTTAAATGCGCCATCGTTTTTATCGTCTTTCGTATCAGTTAGCCTTTTTTTAATTAAATTGCCGCTGAGAGGTGTGATTTGCATAGAAAATATCCTTTTCTAGTATTACACCAACACACTTTGTTAGACGAGATGTGCCTTGATTCAATAAAAAAGGAGTCACATTGGTAAAAATGAAAGCAGTTGTGAATCGTTTTCAATTTCATAATAAATTTTCCCATGGCGGTATTTTTATAAAATTGATTATCTTTGCAAAATAATCTCATGATAGGCTTTGTCGGCACCGGATTTCTATTGTGAACCTAAGCGGAGAAAGGATTTGTGTTTACAATTAACTTGATTGAATTTTTTTTAATTTTACGAATGTCATTTGATTTTAAAAAAAACTTAGAATCTCACGGTGTGACAGGCAAAAACGACATTCAGTTTATTTTGTCATATTTCATGGAGAGTGCAATCACTTTGAATGCGACAGTGAGAAGATGCCAAACACTTTGGCTTCTCAGATGGTGCTCTCTAAGCTTTGTAAAACGGTACAATTTTCTCTCCTCAAGGTATGTTACATATGTAAAATGAACGGTTACATCGCCAGAGAGCCCTCGCGGTATCCGGCTCAGGGGTGTTATAGTAAGGACCAAGAAAGGGTTATCCTCCCTTAGCTCTTGCTGAAAGGGAATTTACTAGTGATTTGCTGCGAAGAGTCAGCTGTAGGTCTATACAATATCATGCTCAGAAAGTTCAATGAGATCCCAAAGAAATTTTAATTTGAATCTTGATGAATGTCGAAAGAATATGTCTGTGTTTGTTTCTTTTATTGTCATTTTTTAAGCGTAAATGATTGCACTCGATCTAAAAGCTGATTGCCTCAAAGCATACGGAATCATGCGGGTCATAAAAAATTCATAAAAATACGTAAGAAACATGTTGAGATCTACAGATCCTTCAAAGGATAGAGCTCACTCTTGTCGATTCCCTATGAAATTCTTCGTAAGAAAGTAGATATTTATTTTTCTTCAATTCTTGCGTTTCCTATAAAACCCTCGCGCCCAAAGTCACAGAGGACAATTTAGGGGATAACTGATTGGAAAAGTCAGTTAAGTAAATCAATGACATCCTCTTCTTACTACGATTTCTTTCGCGTTTGCATTTGTAATTCTTTCAGTTACACTCAATTTATGGATACAAATAGTAAATGCAAAGCTATCTCAGAAACTGCTCATTTAACGTTCGAAATGTGACCCAAGGTCGTAGCTAGGCGGAGGTTCTCGAATGCCCATGAACCCCCTTCGTAAGGCTCTTTTTAAGAAAACAACCTTCAATTTCCTGGTGGCGAAAACTGGTGAGTATCAAAGTGTGACCCCCTTTGAAAAATCCTGGCTACGCCCCTATGATATGCTGTGCCAGAAGCACTGAGGAGTAGTTTTTATTGTGCTGAATTGGATTCTGTTCTAGATAGAAACCGCTTGAGCGTGGAGAAAGCATAGAAAAAAGGAAATGAGATTGAAAATGAATTCCTAGTTAACGTCTGGAACAATTCTCAATAGAAGATGACATCAAAATGACCATCAGCTGTGGCAGTATCGTATCCTGAAGAGCTAGAGAAAATACAATTATGTTCTAGCCTCTGAATACACAACTAGGAAATCTGATCTGATAACACCAACTCTAAGTCTTGTATAGTTTGCTGGTAGGAATCAAAATGACTTCGAAATTCATGCCAGTCAGGCCCCTTCCGACATGACTCCAATCCACTATAGGTGCGTCAGTTGTGCGCAGGTTCAAGGAATAAGCATTTATTTTTGTGTTTTACACGTTACCATAGTCCCATCGATAGCATTTCTCAATCTCTCTGTAAATAAACCGTTCAAAACCCACAATTCCTCTATTCGCTCTTACTAAGAGCTAACACTTTAAAAGTCAGCTTTCTGACGAGCGGAATACAGAGTAATGACAACTTCAAAACTTATTATAAGAACAGGGGTATTCGCAAAAAAAAAGCAGCATTTCTGGAATGGAATCACATGGGATTAGTGGGTGAGGTCCCGAAAAGAAATTAGAAGGTGTGAGCCGTTGCTTTATCTATCAGAATCTTAAAGGTAAATTTTTCAACATGCTCATCAGGAGTGGACATCATTGTTCTATAGTCAAACTGTTCTTTCAGTTTCTGTCACCAAAACTTCTACCGTTGTGTTGTTAGATGGAGTGTTGTTAACTACTATTTAGAGCTTTTTTTTTCCTTAATACTTTCTAAGTTAGTACGTGACTCAACTAATAGGCTCTGATAGATAGATTTTGCTAGAAAACCCATACATAATTGGAAATGCATCAATGAGAGCTGGCTGAAAACAACATCCCAGTTTAATGACCATTATTTTTAAAACTTATTAATTGCCTCTCACCATAAGTGGAAACTTCACAGCCTGGTACAAGCACGGAGAATCGGCCCCTACATATCAAGAAAAAAATAGAGGAGGGTTGTAAAATTTTATAGGGAGAACTCACTACTCAGCGTTATTCTGAAATCAAACAATTTGCTACGCACCGTGATTCTAAAAGAAACCAGTACACAGAGGCGTTTTAACCTTAAGAAGAAAATTAACCATACATGAAAAAATGATGGTTTTGTACGACCTTGAAACCCAAGTATATGATGAGGCTTAGTTAATTTTTAAACCATCGGTGAAAGACCTGATGTATCTAATATTTTAACAGTGTTTGAGCCAGACGCTCCATGCATCCCACTGCTTCAGCAAACCTTTCTGATGAAAACTTTTCTTCGGATCCATGGTCGACCGAACTATCAGTTGGTGAGCTTGGGAACTGGTGCATGCCATGTGGTTTGGTTGCCGTTGCTGCTGTATTTGGTAATATGTTACTTCTTGCGTCTGTTGTGGTGTCTTCATAGCTGCGTTACCACGTGATATTCTTTGTTGCTGGTTTGGCTGTTGCTGATGTACTCGTTGGGTTGATATCTATACCAATGTGGATGTACATGTTGTTCTTGAGTTCGAAAGAAAGTAATAACTCTTTGGAAAATATTCAGTTTAATTCAATTTACGACGCCTTAGATGTTTTTGCCGCTTTGAACTCCATTTTTCATTTGACTGCGATAAGCATTGAAAGGTTCTTTGCAGCAGTTTACCCGAGGAGACATCAGCTTCTGTATCTCCTGTTGTCATTGACAATTTAGATTACTTCAGCTCTCGTCTCAAGTTCTTTCTTTTTACCTGTCAGCAAAATGTCTATTGAATTTAGTTTATATTTAATCAATCTTTTTTTCTTGTTAGCTTTGCTAACGATCTCCGTAAGGTACACTAAAATCTGATTAAAAGTACGATTTGGGATAAGTAAAACCTACGACTCGACTTCAAAAATATCCTTGACCTTATTTATTGTCGTCAGTTTATTTGTCATTGCCTGGTTGCCATTTTTTCATTGTGGGTGTTGTACTTGACTTCTACAGACACTACTGTTTCTCGTGGAGAATATTCTACCTAACCAAGCTTTTCCATTTTGGAAACTCTGCGGTGAATCCGCTGGTTTACGGCTTCAGAATTCCTAAATATCGAATGCTTTTCTTGAAATTCCTTGACATCAAATACGCACCTGGACGTGATTCCATTGAGTTAGACAACCGCGCACTAAGAAATTCACCGGCAAACGTGGGCATTTTTAGTAATGTTTCAGTTGATATTAATTTCAAGAACAAACAAACACCACCATGTCAGCAAGTTAGCTGTGTCAGGTGCTCGAGTCTTCTCGTCATTACCATGCATCAGCGCGGCTAATGATATCATTCCAGGAAGGAAGTCTCAGGACATGATCTCGACTTCAACGCCAAGTTACATGTTGGTTGGCCATAAACATAAAAAAAAAAAATCAGTTAAATCATGAGGAGACAATATAATGTACCTTTTTTTCGGTTAGATCAATTCAATTTACCTCTTTATACCAAAATGAGAATCTGTTGTACAGATTCTCTAGTTGGCTGTTATTAAATTAGCTATTTCTCGGTTGGATCAATTCAATTTACTTCTTTATACCAAAATGAGAATCTGTGTTGCAGATTCCCTCGTTGGCTATCATTGAATTAGCTATTTCTCACCAGTTCTATGAAAGTATTTTAACTGATACAGCAGCTTATTCTACGAGCAATCGTTCAGCATATTATATGCTGACAAAAATCCTCGTATGTACACGCATGGAATGTAATTATGACCTTAATTATGACGCGCGCATGGATATTTATTTGTTAGCCTAACAGTTCGTTTCATGATAAGGCTCTAGTAAGTAAAATCGTTCCAAAGTATAGCTTGATCTTTCACAGTAAGTCGTATAGATCGCTCCCCAACATACATATCTGCATAGACAGACCTTTAGCTTGTACACTGTGGGTAGAACCTTCCCTTTTAGTGTAAATGAAATGGGAAAAGTGCAAATTAATGTTAGTGGATGGAATAGGACGGAATGAGTTTACTTTTTATGAAATTTTCAGACTCATATCAAATCGCCTTTCTGAAGAATTTAGTGGTTTTGTATTTCCGTAGCTGATCTGCATATTTCCTTACAATCGAACTATGGGTTACATAGCAGGTAATTTAGTGTTAACAACTGGGTTGAAAACGTAAATTAGCCACCGTAAAGGGTAAAAAAGCTGACGTTTCGAGCGTTAGCCCTTCGTCAGAGCGATTAGAGGAATTGTGGGTTGTGTGTGGATTTATATGTAGGAAGTGGAGCTACGCCATTGGTGGGAATGTGGTGACGAGAAAACAGGAATAAATTAGTGGAATGAAAAGCGCTCGTTGATTCCGTGGGGATTAAGGGTGCCGATTTGGAATATAAATTTTTGTTCTAGTGTTTTACGGCTTTCCGAACTGCCTAGATGTAAGGAAAGGCCGCAAACTGCCATATGCTGTTTAGAATGATAAGGAAGATTAAAGTGTCTAGCGACTGGTTTGGATGCGTCCTTGTCATTTCTTTCCACATCGCGAAGGTGTTCTCGGAATCGGTCACCCAGTCGTCTTCCTGTTTCGCCGATGTATAACTTATTGCAATAAGTGCAAGTTATGCAGTAAATAACATTGGCGGAGGTACACGTAAAGTGATCGATGATCTTAATGGATCTTTTGGGTCCCGATATTTTCTCTACGTTATGAATGAAAGGACAAGTTTTGTATCGTGAGCGAGCGCATTTAAAAGTTCCAGATTGGTAATAGGTTGGAAATGAACTCCTGACTAAAAAGTTGCCTATGTTTTTGTCGCGTTTGAATGAAATAAGTGGGGGTTGCGAAAAGATAGTGCCAGTCTCTGAATCGTTTTGGAGTAATTCAAAATTTTTAAGAACTAACTAGGTTTTGTAGTCACATCCATTTCATCGGCCGTTGCCTTCATTCCAAAGTTATTCCTAAGGGTTTTCGCTCCAATTTTCACACATCTTCTTTTTCTCATTCGAATCAATATCGTCACCAAATTCAGTGCGCCCAAAATTCTTTTTCACGTAATATTATGATAAATTTTGTTCCCATATCACAAAATACCGACGAATTTTCAGTTAAGCAAGACGTTGAAAAATTCCTTCGCCGCGTTCAGTTGAAAGCCTTTTTTCATGACAAAGAGGATGATTCTAACAACCCGAACAAAGATACTTTCGAAACACTCCAGATTCGAAAGTCTAAATGGACTCCCC